GTAATATGGGAAAGGCATGGTCTTACGTGAAAATAAATCTATGCCCTGTTACTCAGGGACATTTGTGATAGTGTGGCGTAGTAGAAACATGCCGAACGCATACATTGCCCTATCTGGGTTCGATTATCGCTGATTAAACCCAGGCTAATCTGTAAATGCAGTCCAACATGGAGGAAAATACCTTTTGGAAAACAATTCTAAATAAAACTTAATGGAACTGTTAGACTAAACCATATCATTGTAGGAAATTCAATTATAAGCTCTTCATTATTATAATCATTATTCAACATATTCTAATAGTCTTAAAGCCTACTTTCTATCAAGATTATTATTCCATCCCCATGAAATGTATTAGTAAATCAATTAGTTAATACTAGATGAGTGTTGTCTATCTATGTTCATTCACAATTATAGAAGAACTAAGCTCAGAAGAGTGCTTTCCTAAGCTAAAATTTCTAAACTTTCTAGTCCGTAAATGGCTATAAAACTAATGGTGGCATGAACAAAGCAATAGTATGGCTTGTGCCTTGCGTATAAAAAGCATCGAATTTAGGAGGCTAGATAGAAGTAAAATAAGGCGAAATTTGAACCTAGATTCATTTCTTGACACACCTGCCAAGCGAACTCAGGAACAAAATAGGTAAACACTCGGAATATCAAACAATCATTCTATCGTTTCTGATGAAAAGGAACTTATAACCAAATCAGGATATGCAGTAGTGAAATAGACCTAATCTCAATAGATAAAGATAGCGTCGAAATAAAGTTCTGTGCTTAAATTTCGCGGGTCAAGTGAGCGGAATGGGCACAGAATGCGGTGAATATAGATCATGTAATTTAATGACAGCATCATCATTTTACAAAGTATCTAAAATCCATGGCAAAAGGCAAGACCAGATTGTTGAATTGATGAGGGAGGATATATCTGATCAGTGGCCGTTGGTCAAGTTTGGTGGCTATTATATTATATTCGGAGTGAACAAAGTATAATGACGGGAAGGTAATCAAGTGAAATTATCAGTTATTTAATTATAACTGACCACAGAGGGGCACGGCTTGACAAGAATTAAAGTTAAACTGATTGTATGAAGCATAAATCTGGCCTATCGGTCTTGTAGACCGTTCCAAAGTGACCTGATCTTAAAAGTGGCTTCTAATATTATATTCCCCCCCAAAAAAATGAATTTCAAAGGAAGGCTATGCTAGCGAGAAAATTCACAAATATATATGCTCACACAGAGTCCATCAAATGCCCCCATCACCTGCCAATCAGTCTTCATGTCCGGAATATATTAACCTTTAAACTCTTGCTAAAACTGTAAACTAAATGAAAGATATAATTACATTAGGTTCGAAAATTAAGATATAAAATGAGAAGAACTGAAAATAAATAGTGTATATACTCCAAGTTCACCTCAAAGAATGCGGCTGATGAGCCCCCCATGCGCGTGCCATACTTTATCTTTGTCTGTTTTGCAAGATCCTCTACATTCTCGATGGGAACCTTCATCCTGGAGACAGTAAGAAAGGCAGCTAAGTTGGCTGTATAGGAAGAGACAATAATAAGAGTGAAGAACCACCAAAATCCAGCTATGATTCGAGTCGAGGTTGCTCGAGGAAGAATATCAGAACCTGGTAACATTATGAATGAAATTAAAATAGGGTTAGTTCATTCAGTAAGGAGCAAATATATGAATAAATAAGGCTAATTTTCAAAAGCTCTCACCCTGCTGCATTAGTGAGCCTATAGTAAACCACAAGCTATTTAGCATATTAAAGTTATTCTCCACCAGATTTGAGTCGACATTGCACGGATGTGGATTGTACCATTCATAGGGACTAAACCGAGCTATCACAAATAGAACGAAGCTGACCATTATGTATGCCGCCAGAATGTAGCCCCAGACCTAGGAAGAATTAAAAAAGAAGCAGTACCATTAAAATCGATTACAAAACAATTATATCCTCATAGAAATATGCAGTTTTGACCTTTCAACTAGCCCCTAGAATCAAAAGTTAGGAAATTAAAAAGTGACATGACATTGCAATGCACATAAATAGCCTAATTGTGCTAATATAAAAACACTTTTATCTATTGTTTTCTGAGTAGGCAAGAGCCGGTTTAAGAGAAGAGCGCCTTAGCAGTAATACACGAAGAAAATGGTGTACATCGTTAGTGTTGGCCCCCTTATGTGCATAGTAACTAATCTTTAAAAATGACGAGAATAGAATTCTATAAATAAGATAATTAAGGTTCATCGGCATCTCGTTTTTTACTGCGATAATTCCATGCTGAGTTGACTAATTGATCTGAACATAAGTGTATAAAGTGTAAATTTTAATATGAGATGTATTCACCCTATTTAGTTTAAGGTGATGAAGGATTGGTAGTAGAATTTTCCCACAATGATATGAGTAAAGCAGATGTTTCCATTGTTACCATCCAGAGTGGACTGCAGTTTCGACCTCGCATAAGTCTTATCAACATCCCCAGCGGGAGTAGAAAACCAATAGAAACATCAGCTCTACTCATATCACTATGGGAAAATTCTATTATCAGTCCTTATCACCTTAAACGAAATAGGGCGAATACATCTCATATAGCTGATTTACTGATAGTCTCAAAACTCTATTTATATACGAATAATAAATTTTTGTATGACCGAAGTAGATGATATTAATTGAGTTCGTCTTCTTTTGAAGGCTATATCATACAGTATGAAGAGTGCGTGTTTCAATGCATACTCCTATTAGCTAGTCTACCGATTTATATAGCATCACATTAATGCAACAGTTATACCATAATCGGCAAACTACAGTCATGGAACACTACCTGTTGTCTAGTTTCCGCTAAATGCTTTGCTACTTCAATCCTCTGAATCCAACTATCCTTATGTGAATTATATTTTTTCTCCAACATTCGACGAACTAGGCGACCAGTTTCTCTAACATAGGGTATATCATATGAATAAATTGTCTTGTTTCAGTCTTGTTTGGATATAGGGCTAAATTTCTCTTGGCAAGTGGGCATAGTTCAAAAAGGTTTTATTTTTTCCTGTTTACCCACTTTGTAAAAACTCATGTATTTTTCTAAAAGGACGATAAAAGGCAACTCTTTAATGAGAAAAGGGATTATAGTCTATACATATTTGCCGATAGTTGCCAGTATCCTGTTTATTTAATATTAACTTTAGGTTATTTTCGACCAAACATATTTACTCGATGGTATGAAAGCCGAAATAATTTATTTTAAATCTTGGTCACGGTTGCTTGACTTTGATTTCCCAAAGTAGTCCGAAAGTAGCTAGTCTGGAGCGCTTAGCTACAATTTTCATGATCATTTCAAGCGGTAGACCATGGACTTGTTACACTCCCGCACACTTCGTACGCATGGTAGTCGGCAAGTGGTAAGTGGGTCTTTCCAGTCCTAGCATGAAAATACAGCCCTTCAAAGAGACAAGTAAAGTCTATATGAGATGAATTTACCCTGTTTTATTTAAGGTAATGAAGGGCTTGTAATTGAATTTGCCCACAATGCTATGAGTAGACCATGTGTTCCAATTACATTTCGTATAAACGTACTTAACAATAAGTGTTCTTATCCATCAGGAGTGGACTGCAGTTTCAAACCTGCCTAAAATGGTCTCCTCAGCATACCAAGTGGAACTCCAAACCTGGTAATGCAGTGCATAATATCATCATATAACCAACTACGCCGAACTGCAGCAAATAGCCTTGGTCACATAGAAAATGTGAATTTCTAGGAAGACCAGGTATTTCACATGCGGTTGCTGATGAAGCAAAGTTGTATTTATTATAGCAATCAACTACACTACTTATTTTCCGTCTATAAGTATGTCTTCCAGGCCACCAGTAGATCATATATATATAGATAAAAATAAGCAAAGCTATAGGAAATTCGACGAAGACGTGAGGTCTATTCATATAATTGTGGGAAACTTTGGAAAACTCACCTACCAGCTTTTCATTGCCTTAACGGGATAACGTAAATATATCTCATATATGTAATCTATTGGCAGTCTCGATTGCCTACTTTAAACGAAAAAGAAGTCGTCTATCCCTTTATTAAGTTTCCAATTCACTGTTTTCTCCCCCAATCGTATATCCTCGTATCGCCTTCTTTACTTCCACAACTCGTAACTTGCATATTCTACCATACTTCAGATATCAGCAATTTTAAGCGAATTTAGTGAAGTCTATTCACATTCTCCGCTAGTTTCCTCAATCCTGGCTCATAAATTTGATAAAAATTGGCCCTTTCAATATGCAATTTACTTCATTCTGATATTATCAAAGTTTTTCTGCTGTTTTATGACAACCAACTCTTATCGCCGCTTTTATGTGGTGTCACTCGATTACTGTCACGTTATCTGCTTTAAAGGAAAAGATAAGGGAAACGATTACAAATTTTGTCTTTCGTCCTATTTTTGAGACGTATAATTAATGAAGCGAATAAGGGGTCGGCAAAACGTAACAAGCCCAAGACCAGACGCTATAAAGTATAAATGATGGTAAGATAGAGGGATCCGGACAAAGTGCGTTATTCAGGTCTCTCTGACACTGCGATCGAGTTGCTAAAACAATGTAATATCACTAGTAATAAATTATTATGTCTTTAATCTTTATAAAAATTATTCTTATCAATCAACCCCATATTAACAATAATAAGTTATCTCTTGAGTAAGTTATGTGAAAACATATGGCTACATGTTACTATATTATAGGAACTAGTATAATTCTGCCGTAGGATCACATAAATGTTCAAAAACGAGGTCTATAGGAGGATTAAAGATCTTTTTATAAAAGGGCAAATCAGAAGAAAACGTCAAGGAATCTCTCATAATCTAGGTTTAATAATAACCAGGCATATTTCAGTTGCCAGTAGTGGTAGCCTGAAGATTATTTTTAATTTAGTCCGTCATACTACTAGCCTTATATACTAAAAATAGGAACATATTATAACGTGGATAGTTGAATCGAAAAGCGAGACTAAATAGAAAGCCACGTCTTAGAGTAGCCATCAATTTAACGGTAATCAGCAAGATATAAGCCAGTTATGGGGATATTAATCGTAACTAGATAATAAATTATATCATGATGAGAAGTATAAT